AACCTAACCTAACCCAAACTAACCCAACCCAACCTAACCTAACCTAACCTAACCTAACCTAACTAGTTAATTAATATTTATAATAATTTATTTAATTATTTAATTATTTAATTATTTAATTATTTAATTATTTAATTATTTAATTATTTAATTATTTAATTATTTAATTATTTAATTATTTAATTATTTAATTATTTAATTATTTAATTATTTAATTATTTAATTATTTAATTATTTAATTATTTAATTATTTAATTATTTAATTATTTAATTATTTAATTATTTAATTATTTAATTATTTAATTATTTAATTATTTAATTATTTAATTATTTAATTATTTAATTATTTAATTATTTAATTATTTAATTATTTAATTATTTAATTATTTAATTATTTAATTATTTAATTATCATAAACTAGGTAATTTTTATCTTTTAAATATAGTTTAATCATAATAAATTATTAAATTACTATAATAAATTAGTTATAAGAGTCATTTAATTCTAATAAATATTTTAATTAAAATAGATTATTTAATTATAATAAATTATTTAATTATCATATTTTACTATTCAATTTAACCTAACCTATCCTAAATTGGGTAATTATAAAAGTTTAAATAAATAATTTAATTAAAATAAATGATTTATTATAATTAATTATTAAATTAACTTAACTTTATTTATCATAAATTTGGTAATTTCAATCTATTAAATAAATTATTTATTATAAATTATTTAATTATTATAAATCATAAAATTATAATAAATTATCTTCTAATTATAATTAAGTATTTAACTTAATATAACTTAACTTAACCTATTCTAAATTAAGTGATTTAAATATATTAAATAATTGTAAATTATAAATTATTATATTATTTTAAATTATTTAATTATCATATTTATTTATTCAATTTAACCTAACCTATCTTAAATTAGGTAATTATTATCTAACCTAAATTAAATAAATTAAATAAATTAAATAAATTATTATAAATATTAATATTATTATAAATGTGTGTAAAAAATATAAACCACACTCATTTTTTACTAAAAATTAATTAATTAACTATTGTTAAGTTAGAATAAATGAAAAAATAGATTACTATTTTATTATAAAAATATTTGAATACTAATCTATTAGAACTAAATTTTATATAACTAAATTAAATTAACTTTTTGTCATTTAAAAAAAATTTGTTTCTGGCAATGCTTTCTAGCATTCTCAACTAAGTTTCATTTAATATTATATATATATATATATATATATATATATATATGATTATTGAATAGGTATTATTTACATTACATATGTATGGGTAGACAAAAAAAAACTTTTACACCATATTTTATTTTAAGCATAATTATTTAATATCAATATATTTGTTAATAAAATGCAACAAAAAAATATATATACAGTATATAAAAACATTATAAATATATATATAATTTATTTCTAAATAATGTTTAGAAAATAATTACTATTTTTTAACATATGTATTGTTTTTTTTTGTTTTGTTTCACAACAATTTTACATATAATATATATATATATATATATATAGAGTATTATAGTAATTAAATATTGTTTTTATTTTTATATGTTTTCATTTTATTTATATATATATTCTTTATGTATATTATAATTACTGTCAAAAAATACTGTATAAAAATATATACTAATAATAATAATAATAATAATTATATTGTAATATAACTTTGATTTTTTTAACGCCAATAATATTTATATTTTTTATTTTATTTTAGTATTTGATTTATATATATATATATATATTAATATTAAATGTGATATTAGTTTATTTATATATTTTTTTGCTAATATTTTATTTGATTTATTGTTTTATTTTTAATATTTCTATTTAATACATATTATACTACTATATATATATATTTATTTAAAAAATGTAACTAAAAAATCGATATATTAAACAAAATTATCTAAAATAAAATAAATACTTATTATTATTATTATAAAAATATCTTATTTTTTCTTTTAAATAATAAAGTAATTTATAAAATACATGTTATGTTAATAATGTGTTTATATATAAAAATATAATAAAAATATAATTATTATTATTATTAGATTTTTTTATATTTATATCATATATATATATATATTTGTTTGACTTTCTTAATAAAAATATTGATTATTATTATTATTATTATTATTAAACAAAAAAAATAATTTAATTTACTATAATATAAATAAATATTTATGAAAAATAGTCATTAAAATTATGAATAACTATTAATAATTTTTTTTTATAACAAATATTTCTAATTATATATAGTTTTGATATTATATTTATATATTACAAGTATTTAAGTTTTTTTTTAATATACTATTATATAATTGTATTTTCCAATTATATTATTCAGGTATACCTGTACTGTACTATACGGTGATTACCATTCAATTTATATATATATATATAAAAAGTATATTTATATCTTATATTATTATTATATAATATATTATATAAATCTCAATAAATGACATATTATTTTGTTGGCTTCAAAAAAAAATATTTTCAATACACTTACAGTATATATAAAGTACATACAGTATATAGAGATAGGGCTATCTAGAGATAGACAGCCTAATACATGCATACAATACAGTATATACAGAATATACTGTATATCTATTGATAAATCTTTTTACTATCTTTTATAAGAGAGAGAGAGAGAGAGAGAGAGAGAGAGAGAGAGAGAGAGATCATAAAGTATACATATATGCAGTCTATATATACTATATATATATATATATATATATATATATATATATATATATATAAAGCCAATGTAATGGATTGCTTAACATTATTGGCTCAACCTTTCTATTGATCCATAAGCTCTCTCTCTCTCTCTCTCTCTCTCTCTCTCTCTCTCTCTCTCTCTCTCTCTCTCTCTCTCTCTCACTCTCTCTCACTCACTCACTCACTCTTTGTGTTTTTTTTTGGTTCAGACATACTGTACTTCAAACACACACACACACTGTACTACCAGTTTGTATAAACCATACACAGATTGATAATAATAGTAATGGGAGAGTGAGAGTGAGTAAAGAGAGAGAGAGAGAGAGAGAGAGAGAGAGAGATAGAGTTAGTTTACAGTATAGTATAACAAATAGCGATTGTATGCTATATAGTGTACTACTAAATACTGTATATATATAGTACACTATATATATATATATATACAGTATATGTGTATATATATATATATATTTGTTAGGTATATCCATAAGAGACATGAGCGCACTGTTATATGGGTAACAACGGTCTCTCCCTAATGGATAGTGGGATAGAAAGAGAGAGAGACTGAAAGAGAAAGAGTGAGAGAGAGAGAGAGAGAGAGAGAGAGAGAGAGAGAGAGAGAGAGAGAGAGAGAGAGAGAGAGAGAGAGAGAGAGACTGAGAGAGAGAGTACACTCCAATCGATATAAAGTAGTAGTAGTAGTAGTGATGGCAGTAGTGATGCGATGCTCTCTCTCTCATATCAAACAGTTTTTAGTCTCTCTCTCTCTCTCTCTATCATACAGTGTGTGTGTATGTGCTCTGTATATGTGTTGTGTTTAATACATGTTTAGCATTGAATGGCACTTATAGTATAACATATATACAGTATATACCAAATATATATATATATATATATATTATAAAATCAAAATAAAAATGTAATGTTATTGTTTTTTTGGTGGTGGTATTATTTAGTAGTTCAATGGTGAACATCCTCACCCCCACATAAAAACCTACTGTCCCTTCAATGGTGGGTAACAATTGAATAATACTAATATACAGTATTATATTAAATATTAAATGATAATAATAACATTGCCATTGATTTATATATATATATGAGAATGTAATCTAATATAATAATAATTGTAATAATATATTGTCTCAAAAAAAATAATAAATAATATTATTATTAGTAACTAAATACTAAATATAAAAAGTCCTATTATTACTACTACTACTAAATAATATTATTAATTATAAATTAAAAACTATTATATAATAATAATACTATAAATAATTTTTAATTATTTTGTTTATGTGTGTGTGATTTGTGTGGATCAACCAAATTGATTATATATATACTATCTATTATATATATACTATATAAATATATATATATATATAATAATAATATGATATAACAATATTAAAATCAATTGATTGTGAAATATTATATATATATTATATTGATATTACAATGCAATAACATTAACAATAATAATAATAATAATATATTTGTGTGGGAAGTGTTGTTGTTGTGTATGTATATTAATATCAAGAATATATCAATATATATATAGATATAAGTTATAGATATATATATATATATATTAAACAACAATTATTTTTTTGATGTATGGATTAAAAACAACAATTGTCTGACAATTATGTGTTATTACTATTGACATCTAATATCCAGAAAAGGTATATAAAAAAAATTTATTTATATATTTATTAAAAAATACATATATATTATATAAAGTATTAATATGTAGTAATAGTAATAGCATTTAATAACTATTAATATTATATATCTTTAAAAAACAATAAATTAATTTATAATAATAATAATAATAATATTGAATATATTCTGTGACATCAATAATAAGATATTTATATATATATCAATATATATATAAATACGATATATAATATATATATATATATAAATATATAGAAAATGATTAAACAACACGAATATTGGCAACAGTTATACAATATTATTACAAATTATTATTATTATTATTATTGAATATAACGATAATAATAATTTTATTATTACTGATATATGTATTAATATTATATATATAATTAATAACATATATATATAAACCTTTTTTTAATATTTTATTTTATATACTATAGTATATTATAATCTGAATATAAAGATAATAATAATAATAATGTGAAGATAAATGATATAATAGTTTATCACAAAAAAATAAATAAATAAAACAAATGGTGTGAATCCCAAACATATAGTAATAGTAATAAAATTGATGACAAGTTATCACACAAACTATGGCTAACATCGACGACAACAATACTAACGATAACAACGAGAGGACAGTTAGCCATCATATATGTCATACAACTACTACTACTACTACTAGTAATAATCAAATTGATAACCAAATCATCTATACATCCATATTATGAGAAGCAATACTAACTATAATACTAACAATGCATTTACACATTGAACGTATTGGTAGGCCGTCGTCCTATTCGGACAGTAACATACTGTCCCTGTCATGGATGGGCAAAGTACCCGACGGTCTACTACAGGCCAACAACTCAAACAACAACAATAATAATAACAACAACAACAACAACGGGGTGTCCGCGACCTCAGCGGCAGCCGCTGATGATGACGGCTGGAAACTGAATCGCCAAAACTACTATCAGGACGGTTGGCTCGGGTCGGGCAATACCCGCGGTATTGTTGGCGTTACCTATACTACTAGCCGATCGCGTTTGTCGACCGCCGCTAAACCAACTACCACCGGGCCATCGGCAGCTGCAGCTGCAGCGGCCACGGCAACAGCTGCAGCGGCCGCCGCAGCAGCCACGGAACTACCGCCGCGTACCAACTATAACCTACGGGGGCATCGATCGGAGATAACTCTGGTCAAGTGGAATGAACCCTATCAGAAGTTGGCCACTTGCGACAGTACGGGTATCATATTTGTTTGGATCAAATACGAGGGTCGGTGGTCAATCGAGTTGATCAACGACCGCAATACACAGGTTACCGATTTTTCGTGGTCACACGACGGCCGTATGGCCTTGATATGCTATATGGACGGATTTGTATTGGTCGGATCGGTTAGTGGCCAACGTTACTGGTCGTCGATGCTCAATCTGGATAGTTGTACGATTAGTTGCGGTATTTGGTCGCCCGATGACCAGATGGTCATATTTGGTACATCAAGTGGCCATATACTCGGTAATTATTGATTATTATTATTATTATTATTATATTGATCTATTAGTTTAGTTTAGTTACCCGATTATCGGTAATTATTAGTATTACTATTGATTAGCTATCTATCTATTAGTTTAGTTTAATAGTTACCCGATTATCGGTAATTATTATTATTAATATTATTATCAATATTAATAAATATTTATTATATAACAAAAATATATTTAGTAATTATTATATAAATTTGTTTTATTAATATATTATTTAATAAATTATATATTTATTTATAGTATTATTATTATTATTATTATTATTAATAATCAATATATTTTCATGTTATATGATAATAATAATAATGAGTTTTTATTATATTGTAGTTTACAAACAAAAAAAATATAATAATTATTGATGAGTTATTATTAGAAATACTAATAATAGTATTAATATATTTATATAAAAAAAGTTATTAATGATAATAATAATAATAATAATAATAGACTATTAATAAACTTAACTGGTAGTCAATGATAAAAACAAAAATAGTATTTATATATATTTTTTTAATTTAATTATATCAACAAAATTATGAACTAAAAAAATTTCCTGTAATTTTTCTAAAAAATATATATTTTTATATGTCGTCTAAAATTTAAGTATCATATTATTTTGTTTATAACAAAAAATTATCATGGTTATTTTTTTGTGTAGCAATTAAAATTTATTAGTATATTAGTATATATATATGTTATATATGTATATGTATATATATGTTTGAATATAATACAACAACATTAAAGTACACCAAAAATAAAAATAAAATTTAAAAAAATTAGATTTTTTTGTCTAAAATTTTTTTTTAAATTGATATCATTGTCAATGCAATTGCTTATCAAAGCTAAAAATACAGTACAAAAAAAACTAAAAACTTTTAGCACACATATTATCGCATCTATTTAATCGCACAGTTAGTATATAATATATATATATATTGTTAGGGTATGTCATGTTATGTTAATTGATTTTTATGTCAAAACAAAAACAAAACAAAAAGTTTTTTAGTTTAATGTTTGCAAATAATTATCATTGAATTTAGTGTTGTTTTTCTTTATATACGTTAAACTTAATTAATGTGTTTTACTATATATTTGTTTGTTTTTTTGTTGTAAATATCAGTATTAATGTAATATACAGTATATTTATATATCCAAAAAAAATTTTTTTGTTGATTTAATAAATATTAATATAATTATAATTATTTTGTTGTCTTGTTGTTGTTGGATGTGTTTCAATGGTATGTGTGTGTAGTGATTGATAGAGAGAGAGGGTGTGTGGGGGAAGGGAGGTGGTGGTAATGGGATGTTAAAGTTTAATGATAACAACACCAACACCAACAACAACAACAAAGTAAACTCAATTAAGCTAATAGACAGTCAAAGACATAAAGTTTTATAGGATTTGGAAAGAAATTCAATTTCCATATATTTATCTCTCTCTCTCACTATCTCTCTCTCTCTCTCTCTCTC